AGCTCAGTTTGTCTCAAATGTGGCTGCTGCACGCTGCTGGCCATGGAAACCTTCCAGCAGCTGGATCAGCTGGTCCCACCACTGCCCGGGAGCACACTTCCAACTGGCCTGCTAATTCTAAGGTCCAACCTTCTGATTACCAAAGAAAAATCATATTTACATCTCCCAGCGGTAAGAAAACCCTGTGGAGCAGGGCACGTTCCACCCACAGCTCCATCCTCCTGCTGCCACCTCACCTTCCCAGGACACGGCACCCAAAGGGCACCAGGCAAACCAGCCACGTCCCTTCCGTGGCCTCCTGCACCGGGAAGTGTTTTGATCCTGATCATCCAGAGCTTAATTCAAACTCAAGAGGCAGCCCAGATGCTTAAAAATAAACTGGTGCTGAAGTGTTGCTGCATTAGCATGTTTTGCATAATTCATGTCCTCGTGCTGAGCAGAGCCCTTCGCTTCCCGCCCCACGAGGTCACGGTGGCAGCGCGGGCACCTCCACGTGCAGCTCCACAGCCTGCTCCGGGCACAGAATGGTCGGGGTTGCCTGGAGATCCCCTGGATCCCTGAGGTGTCCAAGGTCAGGTTGGACAGGGCTTGGACCAACCTGGGCTGGTGGAGGGGTAGAATGAGATGATCCTCAGTGTCCCTTCCAAACCAAACCAGCCTGGGATTCTAGGAAATCCATCCATGGGGTTTACCACTGTAAAACCTGAGTCCCAAGGGCATTCCCTGCTCTGTTCCGGTTCTAAATGTACAGCTGGAACATGGGAACCCTTCTTCCATGAGCAGGTCATGGAGCTCTGAGTGATGGCCCTAAACATGGGATCAGAATCAGTCCCTCTGGAGAGTGACTCTGGACAAGGGATGAAGGGACAGGACAGAGGGAACGGCTTCCTACTGCCAGAGGGCAGGGAGAGATGGGATATTGGGAAGGAATTCCTGGCTGGGAGGGTGGGGAGGCCCTGGTCCAGGTTGCCCAGAGAAGCTGTGGCTGCCCCTGGATCCCTGGAAGTGTCCAAGGCCAGGCTGGAGCAACCTGGGCTAGTGGAAGGTGTCCCTGCCCGTGGCAGGGGGTTGGAATGAGATGGGCTTTGAGTTCCCTTCCAAACCATTCCATGACCAGTGTAAGTGGCACCAAACTCCCCTGATGGACGTCACCAACTCCTGACAACAATCAGTGCAGCAGAACCTGCAGCAAAACCAAAGAGGTTTTACCTTCCCTGTGCTACAAATCCACACTGGGCACCAATGCCAACGTAGGATCATCCCACCTGGACACTGGTGCCACTGGAGCTCAAATCTGCCCCGGGAGACCCTTCCTTGGCCACCTCCTCACACCCACTGAGGGAGCTGCTGCCCAGAGCAAGCATCACACTGACCAGGGGCTGGGGAAAAGCAAAAGCAAAACTGCAATCAATCCCAGGGATTTTCCACTCCTGACCAGAACAGTGGGCACCATTCATCCTCACTTCCCAGTCACTGAGCTGGGAGCACAGCAACAGCCTGGAAAATGAACAGAAATGCTGAAAGCTCGAAACTAAAAACGTATTTGGGGGGAAAGGTTTGGCTCTCAGTAACCTCCCAACAAGAGATCAGAAAGGAAAATGTCAGAGCTTGGTTTCACTTTAGGAGGGATTCCAAGGCAGAAATAATGAGGCAAATAAACCCAGTTCCTCCTGCAGGGTCACTCACTCCCCTGGCTATGAAGTGCCAGACCAAGGTGACAGATTTAAACCACCTTTTCCAACAGACTGGGAAGAGAAATTCTTTTATTCAGCAGGTGCTGACCTCAAAATGAGAACAAGTTCAAACCCTGCTAAAAACAGGGGCGGTGCTGATCTCAGATGAAGCACCAGATCAGTCCCTCTGGCAGCTTTAAGGAGCTCCCAAAATTCCAACAGGGAAAAAACACTCCCCTTCTCTTAAGCAGCCCCATAAGCACAGGTTGATAATTACCCTGCACACCTTCAGAGGGATGTTTTATTTTAAAAGGGACTTGGAGTCTTTAAAAAGTTCCCTAAATAATTTATAATCTTTGTGGAATGATGCCAAAAAATATAATAAAAATAACAAGAAGTCCTTTCAAAACAAATCAAAACGACAAATCAAACATTTCAGTTTGGGTTTGTTTCTGCTGAGTTTTGCTATTTGAGGGGGAGACGTTCTTGTGGATTTTAACACCTTTTCATGCAGATTTTGTTTTTAAATTAAAGACTACAGGCTGACTCCAGTCACTCCAAGTCATTCAGTCACCAACTGAAAACTACCCAACAGCTACTGTTTTACTTCAGACCATCTTGTAAACTCTGAATTTCATTTTGCACCTCTCAAATTCTTTCCCAACATCACCAACATCCCGCGGCACAGAAGAAGAGAACATTTCACACCTCAGGGCCAAGTTTTGCGTGACCTTGCTTGTGAAGACAAAATAAAAATAATAAAAACCCCTTTTATCTTGCACACAAGGTTAAGGGAGTCGATAAAGATGTTTGATAAAGGTTCAGTGCACTGGTGGTGCAGGTTCAGGGTAAAGGCAGGGGGGGTTCCACCTCAATAAGTTGTTTGAGCTGTTGTTGTTCACCTCAGACCTCGCGTTCCAGACACTCAAATTAAAAATTAGTTTAATAAAAATAATTCTCCTGTGATGTCTGGGTGGAAAAACTCACAAATGCCACCTCCTGGCTGCCGCAGCAGCTGGGCACAAGTGTCACCACCCAGTGCTCCCTCCCTCTGAAATACATGTATTTAACAGTGGGATTTATTGGACTGTTTCCTCATTAAAAGCTGTCAATGCCCAAATCATTGCAATGAGACCTTAAGGAAGAGCCCAGTGGCTCTGTCAGAGCTGGGGCCTGAACAAGGAAACCCAACAGGGCTGAATTTTAGAAATCTCCTTTTCCTGAAGATTCCTAAACGTAGTTCAGTGTCTCTCAGTTTCCACAGTATTGCCTTCAAATTCCACCAAACCAACACAAATCACACCTGATATGGGAGTCTCAGGTATTTCAGGATCTCCACTGAAATCCATCCCAAGTTCTGCTAAATTTAGGAATCACAACAAGGAATCCAGTGCCCCACCAGCTCCACCAAAGGAAGGGAACTCATCCTACCCCACAGACATCCCCTGCAGCCACGTCCTGCTCTGTAATGATTTGCAGACCCTAAACCATCTATATTATAAAACAAAGCCTAATATACTTGATGGACCAGGAAGGGGAATGGAAAACAGCTGGGAAACATTAGAGTTTTCACACTGAGCCTTCGAATTCTTCAGCAGGAGACACTCAAACTGCCCTCACCGGTGCGGAAAACGATGCTGGGACAAAATCCACCGTGAGAAGGGAAATTCTAGTGGAAGGAGGAAGTTCTTATGGGCAAAGCCTTGAGTGTCCCGAGCAGAACCAGAGTGGCTGCCCTGCCCTCACGTTACACTGAGGATGGCAAACACCTCCCCTCAGCCTTCAGCCCCGTCCCTCCAGCCCACAGCAGCGGGCACAGAAGCCTCCTTTGTACATGAAATCCCACTTGGAGGGGGTAAGAGGATATTTCCTGTTAACCTCACCGCAGATTTGTAATCCAGCAGTCAAATTATGTCAATCACAGCTCATTAGGCACCGATTTCCCCTGCCAACTCCGGCCTGGCTGCCTCCTCCAAACCACGTGGCGTTTGCAAACGTGCAACCCCGTTATGGGATCAGGGAGAGACCACCCTGCTGCAGGAGCTGGGAGCCTGGAATTCACCCCCACGGATCCCAGCTTCCCACAGGGAACAGTGGTGCCATCATGTCTAGGGATGCTCCTGGCACACTTGGTTTGCTGAGCGATGGTTTTCTCGGCAGCAAAGCAGGGTTGGACACTAGAATCCAGGGTTTATGCCCCACGTGTCCGTAGGATAAAGCCAGGAAAACATCCCACAAGGCTGAGGAGGAAAAGGGAGCATCTTGGGGAAGGCAGGTCCCTGCAGGCACATGCCAGTGCTGGAAAGCTCAGAGTCAGCTCTGGGATCCAGATCCCAGTTTATCCATCAGCCCTCACGGGAACATCGGGACACGTGGTGGCAATGACACACTCCGGGGTAAACCTGAGACTGAGGGAATTATTTCACAAGAAAGGGGGACAATTCACATCAGCAGCTTACAGACAGAAAGCTGGATCTCTCTTGGGTTATCCTTCACGTTTCCCTCCTCCAAGTACATCCCATCAAACACAACACACACCCCTGGGCCTCACACTGGAGACTCAAGGCAGTACACAAGCCATGGAAGCACATTTACCACAGCAGTGCCAAAAACAGCACCAGGAGACCCAGATCCACAGGAAACCCCTCTCGTGTTATTTGTCCAGCAGGCCAAGAGGTGTGGCACAGCCAGGCCTGGCACCACCGTCCCTCACACAGGCTCAGCACACCCTCGGGAACGCCGTGGGAGCACAGGGAGATTTGAGAGCTTCACCCAAAAAGTGTGACCTGGGGCACTGCCCATCACCTCCTGCAGTGGATACACCTCAAAGAGCGAGGCTACCCAGAGGTGACTCTGCATGTTTGAGGTGACAAACCACCTCACCAGAGCCCTTCCTCAAGACCAGCTCCTCTAACAACGCACGCTGGCACGCTCATCCATCACCTCCAGGCACATCATCCCCTGGCTGCAGGGACCACAGAGATCCTGGAGAAGCTCAGGAGAGCATGTTCAAAGTGGGGAAAATAAAAGTTGCTATCACAGCATTCGTGGCCATGGACATGTTTTGGAGGGTGATGGCTCATTGTCCTGCATGAGGGGGGGAAGAATAAAACTTCCAAACACACTTGTGAGGCTGCACAGGAGGAACCTTTCCTGCACAACCCTGGCACACAGAACTGGAAACAAACCCCTCAGCACGATGACTCCAGACCTGCACGAGCCACTCAGCTGAGCCTCGTGTTCATCAACGTCACAATCAGTCCTGGAAATTTCGTTAGTGACACGAGAATTGCCACTGTCAGCAAAGCCCTCCAGGACCTCACCAGGGCTCCCCAGTGTGCCAGCAACGCCGGTGCCAGGCTAATTTCTTAAGACAGCCTGTAAAGAAGGTGAGATTTAGTCCTATAACCCTCAGCTTCTTCTTCATACTCACATCCCCTGACTAATCCACCATCCCCACAGAAAATATCCCTCGTCCTTTCTCCCCTCACCATTCCTTTCTCATCAATCCTTGCAGCCCTCCTGCCTGCCCCGCTCTGGGGTTTGACTGGTGGCACAGCCATCCTTCCCTCAGAGCCACAGAGAAAGCAAAACAGTAACAGCCGGAGAGTTTATTCCTTCAGGAACTGCTCAGAGATTTCCTGGAAGCTGCAACACCACCAGCCATCCCTGGCTGGCTTCCAGGATGGGATGAAGGTGATTTTTGGAGCCCCACCTTGCAGCTTCTCCCAGTGGGAGAAGGAATCAATGGGAGCAAACCATCCAACACCCCATTTGTACAGACTGTGCCTCTGCATGGCCTCTCCCTCCAGCAAGGCTATAGCACTCACCCTCTGAGCCTTTATTTAAGTCCATCTTTAGAACCAGAGGCCATCTCCTCCTTTCAAGTACCTCAGGAAATCACAGGCACGGCCCTGTTATCTCCCATATTTACATTACACATCTCTAACGCTCTCCCAGACGATGTCTCTGCCTCTGACTGATCTAATCAATCAGTCCCAACTCGAACCCACCAATTTTCTCCCCCGGACCATGCAGGCAAACCAAGCCAGACACTCTTGCGGCAGGTTAGGATGAATCCAGACCCGATTCTGAGCCCTGTGCTGCCTGCAGGAGCATCTCCCATCCGCAGAACCACCACGGCTTTCCCGACAAGAGCAACACGACATCAAGGTTTTTCCACTGTGCCTAATAATCGTAACATCTCACTCGCCATTTGGCTCGTCAGTGGGGGTTCCTGACTGAATAGGCTTATTCTTTTCTTAGACATGATAATCTAATTGGGTCTAACCAGAAATAATCCCCAGCGCACACCAGTCCGCGAATCCTCGCCCAGCGCCGGGAGCGTTTCGCGGACCGGGGGGGCTGCCCCGGGATGTGCGACGGGAATTACTCCGGCAGCAGCTCTCCCGGCCGGGCTTCCCCTGGCATTGCAGGGAGCGCGGGGCATGGCACGCACATGGGGCCGCTCGCCCTCCTCCCCCGGCTCTGCTCCGCACGGAAACGGGGCTCCGAGCAGGGAGGGCATGGCAGAGGGAGACGGGTCGCCACAACCGAGTCGCGATACCCGGGGTCGCGATACCCGGGTCGCGCTGCTCGGGCGCCTGAGAGCGAGCGGCAGGTTTGCGCGATGCGGCGCCCGGGGAGCGCCCAGGGGAGCGCCCAGGGTTGCACAGCCCTGCTGATCCCAAACACCCAGCCCGTCCCGCTGATCCCAAACACCCAGCCCGTCCCGCTGACCCCAAACACCCAGCCCGTCCCGCTGATCCCAAAAGCCCAGCCCGTCCCGCTGACACGAACCCCCAGCCCAGCACCGGCCCCGGTGCCCCGCGTACACCGGAGGGGCAGCGCCGGGGTGTCCCCAGGGGGAAACGGGACCGAGGTGTCCCCAGGGGGGACAGGACCGGGGTGTCCCCGTTGGTGGGGGGACAGGAGCGAGAGGTACCCTCGAGGGAGCAGGACAGGGGTGTCCCCGGGGAGGATGGAGGGGGGTGGGGGGACAGGACCGAGGTGTCTCCGGGGGGCAGGACAGGGGGCTCCCCGGGAGGGGGAGGGCAGGACGGCGGCGTCCTCGAGGGGTCACAGGACCGGGGTGTCCCCGGGTGGGGGAACAGGACCGGGGTGTCCCGGGGGGCTCCGCCGGGCCGGGCCGATCCCTGCCCGCAGCTCCAGCCCCGCCGGGGCCGCCCCCGCCCGCGGGCTGCGCTCCGCCGGCGCCGGGCGAACCGGCCGGGGCTCCGCCTGGGCTCGGCCAGGGGCGGCTCTCGGGGGGCTCCCGAGACAAAGAGCCGCGGCCCCGTCCCGCGGGCGGGGGGCCGAGCCCACCCCACCTGTGCCCGGCCGCCGCTCCCGCTCCAACTTTTCGGCGCTGCCTCCCCCCCCCCCGCCCCGCTCCGCGCCGCCCGCAGACAATGGGGCCGGCGCCGGCTCACCAGGACCACGGCGAAGCGCTCCTCCAGCTCGCCGGGCTCGGGCATGGGCAGCTTGAGGGGCACGGGGTGCGCCCGCAGCTCGGTGTGCTGCGCGTCCACGCTGCCCGCGTTGCCCATGGCGGCCCCTCGGCGCTGCCCCGCGGGCTCCGCGCTCGGGGCTCCCTCTTCTCTTCTCTTCTCTCTCTCTCTCTTCTCTCTTCTCTTCTCTCTCTCTCTACCACCGCCGGCGCTTCGCGGCGCCGCCGCCCGTCATGGCTCGCCGCCCTCGCCCTCCTCCCCCCGGGGCGGGCTCGCTCCGGCTCCGGCTCCGGCTGCGGCTGCGACTCCTGCTCCGGCTCCAGCCCAGGCTGCGGCTCCCCCGCATGCCGCCCGCACAAAGCCCCGCTCCGCCCCCGGCCCGCGGCGCCATGGGACTCGTAGTCCCGCCGCCCGCCGGGGGAGGGACGCGGGGAAGGAGTGGGAAAGGGATAGGGAAGGGGTGGGAAGGGGATGGGGAAGGGTGGGCAGCGGTGGGGGCGACCCCGCCGCCTCCATTTTGGCCGAGCGGCCGCGCTGGGCAGGGATGGGGGGGCAGGACGCGGGGAATGGCTTCGTGCGGCCAAGGCCCCCCCTGCCTTGGGGATTAGGAAGGAATTCCTGGCTGGGAGAGTGGGGAGGCCCTGGCACAGGTTGCCCAGAGAAGCTGTGGCTGCCCCTGGATCCCTGGGAGTGTCCAAGGCCAGGGGGCTTGGAGCAACCTGGGCTGGTGGAAGGTTGGGGTTGGAACTGGATGATCCTTGATGTCCCTTCCAACCCAAACCATCCTGGGACTCCACGATCTCTGTGCACCCACCGTGGTGCCAGCATGGGGCTGACACTGCAGCCACAGGGGCCTGTTGGCTTGCAGCAGCAGGGCCTTCTGCCCCACCGAGGGGCTTTCCAGGGTGCCCCCAGAGCCCACATCCCTTTGGCTGAGACTGGGACAATGGGGGAATCAATCTCCATAGGTTCACCACCCCAACGTATCCGTAACCAAGCCAGTGATGCTGCCTGGGTGTAATCAGGGGATCATCCTCCAAAGCATATCAAACCTGCCCACTCTTCAGGTGCTGTTCCCCATTTCTTCATCATTCCCTGCAGATCCTCTCCAACACTATGTCAGTGTCCTGGTGGCCAAACGCAGCCCCTGGGAATGGTCCCTGGGTGTGCAGGGGCCGTGCAGGAAACACGAGCCTGGCCCCCAGCACTCCCCTCCAGTTTGGAGAAAATCCCAGGAGATGGCATTGACCCGTTTGGTGATTGTGCTGTCCTGCTCTTACATCTCTGTTAGTCCCCACTCCAAGACCTAATTCCCTCCTGTCACCCTCACCAATCCGTATCCCACTGTCTTCTATTAACATTCCATTATCCTTCCAGGGAAGAACGATTTTCACTCAGCTGTCACCTTCACCACAACACTCTTACTGCTGTCTCTCCTCAACCCGAAGATTAATTTTTTGGGGGGGAAAGCAAGAAGATAAGCATCATTGTTTAGAAAATGACCATTCCTGAATTTATTTCCTCTGGGATGGCAGTCGTACCAGAGGCACAGCTCGCTGGGAATCCTGTGTGGCAGCACACGCAACCCTGCAGTGGAAATCCAGGGAAGTGACAGGAAGCTTTTCTCTGTGTGTGCTCTAAACCCACCACTAATTAAATGTGCTCATTCTAATTAGAAAAAAAAAAAGACATAATACATCCATGACTGGGGTGGGAAGTCCTGGATTAGACCCCACCTTGCCCATGGAGTATCAGGGCCCCCGAGCGATGCCAAAGGTGTGGATTCCTGCTCCACAGGCACTGGGGAAGGTGTTACCCCAGGAACAGCCCAGAATTCCATACAACTGCTCTGTCAAAAGCCTAAAATTCTTGCAATATCCTTAATAAACCAAGGTTTAAACCCCAGAGAGCCCTTGGGAGTCAATAACAACGTTATTGTCGCTAGCGAAGGGACCGGTAATAAATACTTTGCTCAGAGTCTTTAATCTAAAACTATCACAATTCTTTGAGAGATTAATTAGTTAATTAAGCTTCACAACACTGCTGTGAGATAAGGGAGCAGTGAAGTGTCACTGATAACAGAGGAGGGTCAGGATACAGTGAGCTGGAGACAGTTTCCAGCCCGGGATCCTTCTCTCTCCCAGCAGCAAATTGCCAGCTGGGAATTACCTGCGACAGAAACCTTCCTCCAAGAGGAGGAATCCCAGCATTTTCCCAGTCAGTAATTCCCACCATGGAAGCACTCAGGAGCCTCATTTTTCTGAATCAAGGGCAAATCCCCTCAGGATTTTTGCATCCCTCTGGACACAGGGACACGGTCGGGGCCCGGGAGCCGCTGCCAGCCACGAATACCTGGGACAGGTTGGGATAATTGCAGGGCAAACTGGATTCCTTGGCTTGGCTTTCGGCAGGAAGCCAAAGGCAGCTCCAAATCCTGCTATGAGGCATATTCAGGTCAAAACCAGCCTTGCAAAGTTTTTAATGAAATTAGCCATCCTTACGCACAGCAACTGTTTGACATCAATGCCAGAGTGCAAAGGGAGGAATTCTTTCAAGAGAATAAGAGGATTTTGAAGCAATTTGTTGTCTGTAACTGGGATGTCAATGTTTGCAAATGTCAGAACGAGCCTGGCAGCAGTGCTAAATAAAAAAGGGACTCAGCTGGCTCACACAAGGCTAAGAAATTATTCTGGGATAAAAATTCATGAACAAGAGCTTTGTTTTTACATTTATTTACTCAAACTAAATAAACAGCTACACAATGTGCAATTCCCAGAGCTCATCCCGGGCACCTGGACAATTCACACCAGGTGATGCCACCAGGAAAGACACCAGGATTAATGGCCATACCAGCTCTGCAAGGGCTCCGTGCCACGAGCACGTGTGGAATTTCCCTGGAGAATGAGACATCTCAGCCTTTCCTCAAGCTCATTGGTCTGTTTGTCACCAAAATCTCCACACTACAAGCTGGAAGTTTGGGGCTGAGTCATTCCTAAAATCTCCTGAACCAGTGTCTACTTATCTGCCTGTGGAAGAATCTCTGGAGGGAAAAGTTTGGTTTATGAACCCTCATTTTCCCCGATGCTCAGCACTTCCAGATGGATCCCGAGCTGCAATTCCAGGTGATATGATATAATGTTCCTAAAGCTGGAGAGGCTTCAATAAATAGCCAGCTCCTGGCTCAGCAGTGGCAGGGGAAGTTTCATTCATAATAAAGATGTAGAGCAACCATAACCCCCGTGTGAGAGCTGAGCAGGGCACTCTTAACGAGAGGTTATTGATTGCAGCACACCAGCACTGACCTTGCCTGGGAGACAGAGAGGGGGTTTGCTGTAATAAAGGGAAAAAAGAATAAAAAAACAACCCATAGGCTGCTCTCTGAGAACAGTTTTCTCAAGGAAAATAAGAAGCTGCAAGGTGATGAGACACTGGCCCAGGTTGCCCAGAGAAGCTGGGGCTGCCCCTGGATCCCTGGAAGTGTCCAAGGCCAGGTTGGACGGGGCTTGGAGCAAGCTGGGCTAGTGGAAGTTGTCCCTGCCCATGGCAGGGGGTGGAATGGGATGATCCCTAATGTCCCTTCCAACCAACCCATTCCATGATTCCATGATTGGATATTTTACAGTGCTACTTTTAATTCCTGTTAAGGAGCAAGTTCTCTATGTAACCAAATCCAGCTCTGCTGCTTTGGGGGTGAATTTTGCTGTAAGTCCTTTCCCCGATTTTCAGGGAATTCTCAGAACTTGAAGGCTGATCCCAAAGGTGGGATTTTCCGTCTTTTTTTTTTCCGAGCAACATTTCAGTTTCGTTTACAATCACTGCAGGTACCAAAGGAAAGGGAAGAACACACAAAATTAGTTGAGTACACAAAGGTTTGTAGGTCATTAAACACAGTAATAGGGATTGAAGGGACCTTAAGGATCATCCCATCCCACCCCCTGCCATGGGCAGAGACACCTTTCACCAGCCCAGGTTGCTCCAAGCCCTGTCCAGCCTGGCCTTGGACACTTCCAGGGATCCAGGGGCAGCCACAGCTTCTCTGCCCAACCTGGGCCAGGGCCTCCCCACCCTCCCAGCCAGGAATTCCTTCCCAGTATCCCATCTCTCCCTGCCCTCTGGCAGTGGGAAGCCATTCCCTGTGTCCTGTCCCTCCAGGCCCTTGTCCAAAGCCCCTCTCCAGCTCTCCTGGAGCCCCCTTAGGCACTGGTAGGGGCTTCAAGGTCTCCCAGGAGCCTTCTCTTCTCCAGGTGAACCCCCCTCCAGGTAAATTGAGTTTAAAACAAGGTGCAAAGGCTGGGATGGAGAATCCCCAGGGAGCACTGGGATGTGAAGAGGAACACCTGGAGCTGGAGGACACCCCACTTCCAGACTGGGGTGGTGACCCTCGGGGTCATCCATGGAATCTCCATGTTCCTGCTCATCTGCCTGTGATCAAACACAACCCGAGTGTTGTTTTCTGGTGGGATTCAGCCCGGCCGGGAGCTCGTCCATGATTTATTGGCAGGAAGGCAAGCAGACAAAACACAACTTCGGAATTCCCAGCAAGGCAAGGGATTGCAAATGCTAATGAAACTGAGATAATGGAGCAGAAAATAGCAGGAGGGAAGGAGTCAATATTTAATAAAGCTGCTGTGTGAGCGCCGAGCGGCGCGGTGAGATGGAGACCGAGCCTGGAGGAGATGCAATAACTGCCAGGAGATCCTTCTCTCCGCTTTTCCCGGCGATGGAGGGGCTGTAGCTCAGCCCTCAGCTGGCTCCTGGCTCCAAAGGCCACCCGTGGGACAATGCCAGCCATTGTCCCCGGGCAGGAGGACAGCTCCCTGTGCTTCCACGCAGGCTCCGCACACAAGCGCCGCACAAGTTCCCATTGTTTTCCCACCAAAGGCTCCTGACAAAGAGCTCCCGAGGATGCTTGGGCAAGAGGAATAAAACTAATTCAATTTTTTCAGCTGATAGAAGCTGTTTAGAGGCTTTAAATGGGTTTCAGAACTCCTGAGAAAAAAATATGGATTTCAATTTACGGGACTGATTAATAACATTTGTCTCCCAGCAAGGTGGGGGGGGAGGGGGGAGAATTTGCCAGAACAAGAGTTGTGCAGCCACTGGAAACACCTTTTCCAGACCTTTAAATCACGTTTTCCAGTGTCACCAGCTCCCCTCAATGATGTCTCACTGCAGCCAAAGCTCCCAGCAGTACTGAGCTCTCCTTGCCCCCTCTTCCCGTGTAGCCAGTGCCCCCGGGATGCTCCATGGACACAGGGTGGGTGGCACTGTGGCCTCTCCTGGCTGTTGTTTTAA